ATATATATATATATATATATATATATAAAGATTTTATTTAACCATTTAAAGAGGTAGTTGATGATAAGTCTTTATAGATTTCTATAAGTTTCCCTTTACAACAACACGTATATATCTAAGGTAACCAAAAACTTCTTGTCCTTTTTTTTTCTTTCTTATTTTTATTTTTTTATTTTTAAATAAAACACTGAAAGTTTTTATGATTAGAAACATTATTAATTTACATTGTGCTTAGTTAAACTTGTTAAACCACTATTTTATTATTATGTTACGTTATGCGTGCTGTTATCATGTTATATTTCATAGGTTGCATTATGTTATGTTATGTAATTATAATATAACAATGTGTAAATTGAAAGAAGTTGTAAAAAAAAAAAAAAAAAAAAAAAAAAAAAAAAAAAAAAAAAAAAACTTGATGGTGAAAAATTACTTAAGTATAATTCTCGCTCCGGCCAGAATTCCGGTCTAAACTTTGTTAATAAACCTGGCAACTCCAGTTTTTCGGCCGGAATTCAAAATATCCGATCCGGTACACCCCTATTTTTTAGTATTAAACAAACACTTCACAAAATGAATTATCCTTAAAGTAAAAACACAAACAAAAATGATTTACAAATTACTTATTTAAGTAATTTATTTTATTATATTATTTTATTTACAATAGATTAGTTACGTTTAAAATAAATAAATTAAACACATTAAAAACGTAAATACGTTTAAGTAATTCATTTAATAATATTTACAATACATTATATTGTATGTAATTATGTTGGTTAACCTTGACTTTGAAAACCTTGGTTAACCTTGACTTTAAAAAAGCATTCGACAAAGTCCCACATCTTCTTGTGAAACTTAAAGCCTACGTTAATAGTTAGTGACCTAATTTTCTATCGGATAGAAAACTTTCTAACGAAACGAAGATAAAGTGAAAGGATAAATTGTAATTATTATAATTATGTACCATTAAAAAGTGGAGTTTCTCTGGTTTTGTTTTCTATTATTCATTATATGCATTAATGATATAATTACTTTAAATGCAACACTTTTTGCCGACGATTCAAAAATATTTTACCTTTATTTTTTATTTATTTTAGCTGTTAACATAATACTTACAGTTTGTAAATTAAAAAAATATATATAAGATGGCAACAACAAGAAGAAGGCGCCGTCTTATCACCAAGTCATTTATCTAAACCACACTTATCTTATCACTAAGTCATTTATCTAAACCACACTTATATAAATCCATTTAATTAAAAATAAAAGCGATAATAAAAAGCAAAATTTTGTGAAGAGTTTGAAAAAATGCAAAATAATAGAATATTCTAAGAATATTCTAGACTTTAAAAATTATTTCAAAGATAATGAACATATATAATGAACAAATATAATGAACAAATATAATGAACAAATATAATGAACAAATATAATGAACAAATATAATGAACAAATATAATGAACAAATATAATGAACAGATATAATGAATAAATATAATGAACAAATATAATGTACAAATATAATGAACAGATTTTATATTTATAATCAAAATTGAGAGTTTTAAGATAATATACTTAAACAGAAAACAAAATAAAAAACAAAAACAAACAAAAAAAAGTCCAAACTGATCAAGATTGTTAAATATTTTAATATCATTATTGATCATCTTGTTCCATACATTGGGTTCTCTAATAGTTATTGATCATCTTGTTCCATACATTGGGTTCTCTAATAGTTATTGATCATCTTGTTCTATACATTGGGTACTCTAATAGTTATTGATCATCTTGTTCCATACATTGGGTACTCTAATAGTTATTGATCATCTTGTTCCATACATTGGGTTCTCTAATAGTTATTTTAATTGAGAATTTTTTTGAATCTTAAATAGTTTTTGGTTGAACATACTTCAACTTTCGAATATTCGGTTTTTGTGTTATAGTTCATCACTCGAATATTTGGTATTTGTGTTATATTGGTATTGTATCTTAATAGTTTTATATAGTAATAGTTTATAAGTTGATGTTTATTTAGTAAACATGAGGTATAACCAGTTTGTTAAACAAAGGTTTTGAGAGACGATGTATCTTTGATAATAATCTAATTGCATGTTTTTGTTTAATAAATAATATTAAATTGTTTTTTTTTGTCTCAGTTATATTGGTGCTGCACCAAACAATATTTGCATAAAGATAAGAATAAATAAATGAGAATATACTTCTCATTTATTCATTTTTTGTGTTTTAAGCACAACATATTTTAAAGAGGTTTTGCTATATAGAGTAAACTAATATTTTTAGAAATTTTATTTTCAATCATGCTTATGTGATCTTTTCAAGTTGTTCTTTCATCGAGAATTACACTTAAATATTCTGTGATAACCGATAGGAGTGTTAGAAGTGTTCTCTAACTCTTTTAAATCTCTTTTATGAAAATATTTCTTTTATACAGATATTTCCTTTATGAAGATATCTTTTTTATGAAAATATCTCTTTTATGAATATATCTTTTTTATGAAGATATCTTTTTTATGAAGATATCTCTTTTATGAATATATCTTTTTTATGAAAATATCTCTTTTATGAATATATCTTTTTTATGAAGATATCTTTTTTATGAAGATATCTCTTTTATGAATATATCTTTTTTATGAAAATATCTCTTTTATGAATATATCTTTTTTATAAAGATATCTTTTTTATGAAGATATCTCTTTTATGAATATATCTTTTTTATGAAAATATCTCTTTTATGAATATATCTTTTTTATGAAGATATCTTTTTTATGAAGATATCTCTTTTATGAGTATATCTTTTTTATGAAAATATCTCTTTTATGAATATATCTTTTTTATGAAGATATCTTTTTTATGAAGATATCTCTTTTATGAATATATCTTTTTTATGAAAATATCTCTTTTATGAATATATCTTTTTTATGAAGATATCTTTTTTATGAAGATATCTCTTTTATGAATATATCTTTTTTATGAAAATATCTCTTTTATGAATATATCTTTTTTATGAAAATATCTTTTTTATGAAGATATCTCTTTTATGAATATATCTTTTTTATGAAAATATCTCTTTTATGAATATATCTTTTTTATGAAGATATCTTTTTTATGAAGATATCTCTTTTATGAATATATCTTTTTTATGAAAATATCTCTTTTATGAATATATCTTTTTTATGAAGATATCTTTTTTATGAAGATATCTCTTTTATGAATATATCTTTTTTATGAAAATATCTCTTTTATGAATATATCTTTTTTATGAAGATATCTTTTTTATGAAGATATCTCTTTTATGAATATATCTTTTTTATGAAAATATCTCTTTTATGAATATATCTTTTTTATGAAGATATCTTTTTTATGAAGATATCTCTTTTATGAATATATCTTTTTTATGAAAATATCTCTTTTATGAAGATATTTCTTTCATGAAGATATCTGTTTTATGGGATGAAAAAGTATACTTTGCTTATGTTAGATTATTGTTTATTTACGTTTAATCATTCATTTAAATTTAAAAGTTCAATGTGGACCTTTTCATCGACATTTCTATATCACTATGGGAATAAACTAAATTTATCAGCAAATAAGCTATAATATAGAATATTATAAGCATTGCTTAAATCGTGTTTAAACTGTGCCCGTATGACGGGGGCCAGTTCGAGGTAAATGAATGCAGGAAACTTCTTAAAAACGTGAATGTGATTCAGCAACTTGCTAATACAAACTCGGTTCTCAACGTTTTTCACATAATTTAGGCTTTCGAATGTTTCAATTTAGTAGTAAAAGCTTTGGTTTTATCCTTCAGCTGGATTTTGCTGAAATAATTGAAAATTTCAAAAGATGTTACTTAACTGGTGCAAGTGAAACACCAAAATTTCAAATCATTTTCTACCACATCAAAAATTTCACAATTTGCAAATGATCCGCCCTGGGGCCTGGTGAATAAATTGTAGAAACAAAATGCTCATCAAGACATTTATAAACATTGGATAAAATATGAATGAAACAATAATGAAAAATTGCTATGCTGCATAACTGATATGGATCGTATGCATCTTTAAAGAACTGCTGCCATAATTCAATTAATTAGATTAGGCAGCAGAAAATCATAGCTTACGTTTAGTAATGAATATTTTTGACCATTTAAATCCTTAACTGTTGTCAGTAATTATGAACTTTATTATTTCATGTAAAAATATTGAAGAATATTTAACTAAAAGAGTCAAGCTATTTTGAATTTCTTGTGGAGAAAAGCAAAGACAATGTCTTACAAATTAATCAGCTGCTTTTTGATGGTATTATAATGTAAAAAATAGGGTTTATATATTTCTTTTTTCACTTCATCTTGAAAGTCAATTTTTTTAAGAAAATTTTAAAGGCCTATAAAAATTCTTTTAAAAGAAACGTTTTTTTTTTTGCAAAACATTTTATTTTTTTAGCAAAACAAAGAACTGATAATCTTTTTGCCAGGTTTTGCACTTTTTTCAGCACTTGTTTTTTGCATTTTGGCAATAGTTTACATTTTAGGAAATGTTGAGAAATTTATGCTATGCATAAGCCAATTCAAAACATTCTTCAAATAACGAATCAACATTTTTGTCTATAGAATAAAAATGGTACATGTAGCAATAAAACAATTGTATAAAAAAGTTGTTGATATGACATAATAGAACACTTATGTAAACTTTTTTTTGAAAATAGCGATCGAATATCACAGTAATTGATAACATTTTAAGGTCAAAGTTGCAAAAAAAGAACAAAATATTTAACTAAAACTGGCATAAATTTTTAACCAGTAAACCAATCTGTCTGAAATTTTATCCAGAGTTTGGTGCGGCCATATGCTTTATTGCACCAAATTTTATCAAATATAGGTGATGATTTTCATTCTACAGGTGTTTTTGCCATTATAGGTGGTGGTTCTCATTCTACAGGCGTTTTTGCCATTGTATAATTTAAGTATTAAAACAACAACAAAATTAATAAAAAAACAAAATTATAATATATTATAGTCATAAATGAAACCAAGCACAACGAACAACAAAAAAATTAAATGCTTATTTAGGAATATTTATGAATTTCTTTTCGTTCTTTTTATTTTTTGCTTGTCTTATTTTTTTCCTTATTTTTGTCTGCATGGGTCCAAAGACATCTTTGTAGTATTCTTGTAATTTTATGAGGATGTCAGTATTCTTGTAATTTTATGAAGTCGTCAGTAAGATAAGAAACTAGATGACTTAATACAATAATGATTTTACCATTGTAGCGTTATCATGGAGGATAGCAACATTTAACTACCACAAATTTTTTTTTCCTGTGATCTATTATCTGTGATCTATGATCTGTGATATATGATCAGTGATATATGATAATTTTCATTGAGTTTAATTACTTTATAAAAAATAGAAAATATAAGTTTAATTATTTTTACAAAATCTTATTATAAGCGCTCAGATAATAAACAAACAAATATTGTTGACAATGCAAATTTTTTGATCTAACCAAGTAAAAAATGCATCTTTGCTTGTCTTATACTCCATTTATCTATTTTTATTAATCACAATTTATTTTTGAAAAAATGCAATTTTGTTTGTTATATTTACGCCTTTTGCCTGAGGCTTTGTCTCTTTGGTAGAGTTTGGTTTTCCTAATGATTTGTTCTCCGAAACAAAGTTTACTTTTGCTGTAGGTTTTTTGTCTGTGACAGAAATCACATTCTTCGGTGCCGGTTTTTTCTCTTGGAAAAAGAATTTTTTTGAATGTTGTTGATTATTGTCATTTTTTACGTCTAAAATTTTGCAAGAATCTATTTTGCTTATTTTTAAATTTTGGACATTTTCTGGAATTTGAGAAATGTTCGTTTTATTCAACGTAATAAGATTTTGTTCAGTTGATTTCTCATTATTGCGATATTGGTCTGATTTACCTTTTGTTTGTAATACTGGTGAGGTTTCTTTTATTATGGTTGAGTTTTTGAAGCCTTTTTTATTTGGTGTTGGCTCCGCTTTTTTTATTGAATCAGGTTTTAATGCATTATCAATCTTTAACTTAGCTGTAACTTCATTTTTTTCAAACTGTAGATAATCTTGGTCACCCTGTAGGTAACCTTGATCCAGAATCTTAGTTTTTGAAGTTTCTTCATTCGATCTTCCGTCTTTATTTTTTTTTATAGCAAGTTTTAACTCATCGTCTTCCTCTTGAATTGACTCGCAGTCGCTCGTAGAAAGTCGTTTAGTACGATGCTTTTGCTGTATTTCGGCAGTTAACATAAAATTCTCTTTTTTATCTATATTTCTTCGTAGCATTCTTTCCTCTTTGCTTATTATTTTAACACAATCATTAACGCTCGAAGAAAAACAAAGTTTTTCTATACTATTTTTGGGTGTAATTTCTGTTTCCGATATTATTGTTTTTTCAACTTCCATTCTTTCTATATTGTCTACATCCATTTCGATATTATTTTTTCCAAATGTATCACATTTTAATTGATCGCAGTAGTTAATGTTGTTATTATTGGTATCTGTGGATCTATAAGTATTATTACAATAAATATCCGAATGGTCTCCTGACACAATTACTTCTTGTAAAACGCTACGAGGTGATACATCATCAATTTTTTCATCGCTTTTTTTACGTGATTGAGAACAAGAAGTTTGCAAATCAGAATTTAAATCTTTTTTTGCAAGATTTGAAATTCTGTTAAATGTTAACTCTGTTTCAATACTATCATCTTGGTCAGAGTCAGTACATTCTTGATTATCGAAACCTGATTTAATTATTGAATAAAACCTGCCGGCTGCTTTTACGGTGTTAAAAATTCTCTAAAAAGATAATAGCTTTAAATTATTAGAAATTTCATAATATCTATTTTAATAATATATTGAAGTATTTATTTATATCTATATTAATAATATATTACTAATATCTATATTAATAATATATTGAAATATCTATATTGATAATATATTGAAATATTTATTAACAGCCTAATGTAGAAATATTAGCTCAAAACTATTATAAACATTCAAAAATTATAAAATACAAATTAAAAATGTAAATCCTGTAAAATAAAAATTTTCACCTGCCATCTTCGGCGGTTCAAAAATTGATTTAAGTTTTCTTTATTGTCCAAAACCAGTTGTAAACCTTTTAGCTAAAAATAAAAAAAAAATTTAAAAAAAAGTAGTTCTATTTACGGTTCAGAAAACTTCAGTCAGCATATATATGCTGACTGAAATTACTACATAGGATAAATTAAATATGATAATAAATAGTTAGTATGTGATTAGTATTTGTTTAGTATATAACTGTCACAATTCTAAAAACAAATCTAATCTAAAAAATTCTAAAAAACAATTCTAAAAAAAAATCTAATCTAAACCTAATTTAGATTAGGTTTTTTTAGCTACTCCACTCATGTCACACAGTGACAACTGTCATATTTTTTGTCTTAGTTTTTATTGCATAATCAATGCAAAAAAAAAATTTTTTAAATTAATTGCTATTCTAAAATGTAACAATTTTGTTATTTTAATTAAAGCTATTTTTTATAACGTGGATTATTTGAATGGCTTTAATCATTTGAAACTATGGAAACTGATAAACATGAATCTTTTTATATTTTCAACGAGATTGTTTTAAAACTATCTTTTAAAGAGGATTAACAGAATTGTTACAGATTAATCCTCTTAAATCCCTTGAAGAGGAATTATCTATTTCTAATTCTATTTAAATTCTACTTTGGGTTAGAGAGAATTAAGCACCCCGAAGAAGAACCTGGATAATTGAGCATTAATTCTCTAAATGTTTCTAACGTTAAACATATCTTTGTTCTTTGATTTTGGTGTTGTGGTTTATTCTTCTCCGGCTATATGACATAAAAAGACTACATACCGTGGTCCCCAAAAATAAGTTCAGCTTACTAAATAAGTTCAGCTTACTAAAGAGCATCATAACCTTCGACCAAGAGTAAACCAAGAATAAGAGAGTCTTAGGAAGAACAGAAGTAAATAGGAGTAAAAATTCAGATATAGTAGACTTGAAAAATAGCATAGAGAGAAACGCGGAGGATGCACTGGATGTGCGATGCTATGTAAAGATTTAATGGTTTTTTTTTTCGTCTTTGGTTTCATTCTTTGGTTTTAGGTATGAAGCAGAAATTTTTTATATAAAGAACGCTGTGCGTTTTTATATAAAAAGAACGCACAACGTTTTGCAACTTCAAAGTTGCTTTCCATTAACCAGCTTATAGCAGTCGTGGCGCAGTGGTAGCGCACTTGCCTCAGAAACGTAAGATCTGTGGATCAAACCCCACTTCTAAGCAAGTTTTGCGACATCGGTTGGGAAGGAGGCGTGACTTCATATTAAATGCTCTTCCGCGGTGCTCTGTGATAAGACCGTTAGGACTTCTTGGGGCACCTAAATTAAAAAAAAAATAATAATAAAAAAAAAAGCATGCATCAACCAGAAGACGTTCGTTGGACGTCTGATGAACGTCTGGTGGCCACTGGGTTGTAGTTTAGTTAAGCAATTTTAAATTTTTCTTAAAAATTGTCACTTCGTGACGTCACAGTGTAACAAAACACGCTAAAATTAACTTTAGCTAAATTTTTTTTAACAATTAAGTTAAAATATGGCAGGGGCGGATCCAGGGTGTCTCGAATGATGCGCATGCATCAGTCTTTTTTTACCGCTAAATTTAAGTGTATCTCTTTTTCACTTTTTTTTCTTAATTAAAATTAAAAGGAGAAATTGGAATCTGGTATTCACAAAAAATGAAAAACTTATTTTAAACTCGAAAAAAATTCATTTAAAGTCAATTTTATTTGATCTCTATAGTTACTTATTCGATCTCTATAGTTACTTATTCGTTACTTAGACAAAATTCCTGCGTTTTGGAGCAACTGATGCAATTGTTCTTCACTAAATAGGGTAAAGTGACCAAATTCCAGCCGCATCTTTACAAAATTGTTTCTACAGACATATTAACAAAGAGGTCTATATGAAAATTATACATTTCTAGAAAGATAAACCTTTCAGCATTTAGGATATAATTACAGCAATTAATATAAATAAAAAATGTTTGATAAAACAACGATTACAAAAAGTATATAAATTTGACCAAAATACAGCCACTATGACCAAATTTCAGCCAGGCGTATGCGGAATGAACCTAATTACAGCCAATATAAATAGCAAGCTTTTTATAATACTTTTATGGGTTGGCGTTTAAAATATTTTAAAATTAATTGAATTACTAAATATTGAACCAATAATTTTTTTGATGTGATCTTAAACATCAGTTAGAAAATGATTGCTTAACTTAATACTAAGCATTCATCAACAAATAAACTTAGTAAGGATGCCTAAATCTAAAAAAAATAAGTTTTCAGGACATGATTTTAAAACTATTCAAAAATGATTTTGAAACTATTTTAAAAGATTTGCATAGAATATAATATTCACATTAAAAAAAAAAGAAATTCAGTGAACTCTATAAAAGACTTTTTTAATTACTAAGAACAAAAATTCATAACAACATGATCAAATTACACATTGCTTTTTTATACTTTTATAGGTTCATTTTTATAGCAACGGTTTTTTTCTAGGATTATCTTTTGACAATACCGTTGCTTCCTTTATTTTTAAGTTTTGTAGTCTTTTCAATTTACGCATTTCTTTTTCCTTTTCATTTTAAGCTTGTTTTTGCTTCTGCTTTAACTGTGACTCATATGCTTCCTTAGAAGTAAGCACAAAAAACTTGTCTGCATTCTAAGCTTTTTTGCTCTTTGTAAAATTTGGATAAGAATATGGCAAAATGTCATTATCTCCATCTCCTGGATAAGATGAACTTTTAAAGAGGAAATTTGGGGCAAAAGATCTAGTTTTTGCAAAATCAGAAGCTAAAAGAGTTGAAACTGTAAAATCAACTTCATGCTGATCAATAGGCTGTTCAATTTCAGAGTAAGACATAATCCTAAAGCTGTCTTGAAACTTACTAGTAGCTTTATTACTTGCAGCTTTTAGTTCTATAGTTTTCATATTTAGTTCCACTAAATCATCACTCCTATGTTCTACTACGGTTATTGGTTCAGCTAAATAGTCGTGATCATTTGCTACAGCAAATCTTGGGTTGGTAATTAGATGTTGTTCCAACTCAATATCTGGTAAAAGTACTTTTGTGCTGTCTGTTGTTTGCTTAATCTGCTTAACTATTGTTGTATTATCAACTGTTTTAATTTGATCAAAAAGATTAGTCATTAACCTATCTTCAGAATACACATAGTTTGGCAAGTAAGCTTCAGCTGGAATAATTGAAGGATTATATGGAAAGATTCCACATGATTTAAAGCCAGATTCAATATTAGCTTTTGTCATACTTTTATTCCAGGCTTTGGTTAAAAGTCCTGTAAAATTGGCCTTGTTTATTATAACCCCAGGGTGATTAGACATCATATCCTGTGCTGCTTTATTATATGAAACTTTGAATGGCTTAAATACAGTTCGATCACAAGGTTGAAGCCAATTGCTTGTATAAGCAGGTAATTCAACAATTTCAATTCGGTTTTGTATGGCCATATTTATTAACTCTACGAAATTATGGGAATCGTGGCCATCTAAAATTAAAACTTGTGGACGTTGTGGTCCAATGTTTTTTAAAAATGTAAGCTCAAACCATAGTTTTGCAATCCCTTGTTTAGTCCATCCAGATTCACTTGGACTCCAGTTGATTCCTTCAGGGGCATCTAGAACTTGAAAACTTTGAAGGGATTTTACTGTCTTTCCTTTTGGAATCACATGAGGTGGTAAGGCTCTTCCTGCTGCATTCACACAAACAATTAAAGTAATCATTTCTCGATTTCCACTTGTTCTCATATTTAAATATTTTGTACCTTTTGCAGCAACTATTTTGTGCGCCTTAAAGTCTAGCTGCAGTCCTGTCTCATCCATGTTCCATATTACTTCAGGCTGACAGTCTTTAATGACTTCTTTAAGTGCAGTAAAATAATTTGCCACCTTTATCAGATTCATGCATTGATGACGAACTGATGCTGTTGATTCTGGTTGTTGAAGAGTTACTTTTTTGTTATGTCGATTGTTAAGCAGTCGCCACCATTTATTAGATGGTTTGCCATTCTTAAAAGAATATCCATATTTTTTGGCAAGCTTGCCAGCATATACAAAGAATTGTTCTTTTCCAAAACCAATGCCCATCCTAGCTCTGTTGTCTGCAAAACCAAGTAACTTTTGTTCAAGATCAAGCGACATTAAACTTTTTCTTCCTGCTTTTGCACCAATCTCAACTTTTCCATTTATCCTGCTCTGCAAAGTTGCTCGGGGTACTTTAAAAAATTTAGCAGCAGCTCTAACAGACATTTTAGGTGAACTAATAACACTGTTTATAGCTTCAAGTAACACTTGCTCTTTATATTTCATATATTTACCTCGAGTTGGATGACATTGTTTCTTATTATAAATTTTATTTTTATTATCAGCCATTCTAAAATGAAAACTTTATATTATAAATTATTAAAATTTTCAATTAAAGATTATTTTTTAATATAATTTTATTTATAAGTAATAATTTACATGAAACAATATAATATCTTTCAATTATTTAGACTTTTGTTTGTTTTTAAGTCATCATCCTCAAATTTTAAAAATATTATATAAATATTTAACTAAATAAATGCAAATATTTAAGATTGATAACTTTTAGGACATAAATGTAACATAAAGTACTTATATTAAAAGAATAAAATCTAATAATATAAATATCATACAAGTATGAGTTACTTTTAGACACTCGTGAACCTAATTTCGGCCTTGGCCGGAATAAGGTTTATACCTGGCCGGATTTTGGTCTTTCTACCAGGTGCAATTAATTAGGAAATACAATCTATAGTAATGACTCAACATAATTATAAAGCTAAAATTGTCTTTTTAAGAAATATATTTATAGTTTAAAATAATTAACATTTCGTTAAGTAATAAATATTTAATATTTATAAGCTTCAAACTGGATGCTTACATGATATTTTAAATATAAAGTAGTACTTTTTTGAGATAAATATTTTTTATGATGTTACTTCTATTATAAACAGCCGCCAACTATAACAATGCTTTTTTTATTGGCTGAATTCATACCAGTCT